AATGCGGCCAATGCATCCCCTTGCTAGCTCCCTGGTCATGAGAAATCTTTTTTTGTTCCTAAAAGGAGCTAACAGGTTTTCTTTTGCTTTTACTTCTATATTTTGTGACTATTATGCATCTTCTTGATGCTTCTAATGAAGCCAATTACTTCATCAAAAATATTTCCACCTTCCGAGGTCTGCTAGTAAATACAGAAGATCTAACTAAAACCACATCAGCATACAATGGGAGCAACTATATCTTTCCTGTAAAGGGAGAAAGGACTAAGCTAAAATCACAGATGCACTCAACTCTGAAAATCCAAGTCTACATTACCAACTAAGAAATACAAATGTGATTACCAGCTACAAGAGACTGAAAGAATTTTTCAGTTACATAATCCTCCTCATTAGAATTCTCAAAAGCCAAGCTAAACTTGTAGCGCTTCAGTGCTTCCACTTTGTCAACTGCCATCAGATTGAGAACAGAGACCACAAGTTAGATTTAATTGGATTTCCTTTTCCTTTTTGACAAGTAACAATAAAGATTTAATTGGATATCAGTGCAAACCTAAACCAAATGCATGTAAAGAAGAACAGAAAATACCCTACATCCACATAGATGATTTATCCACAACACCTTTTCTCGGTATACTTTTGTTTCAACAAATCTCAATATAATTTCCTCAGAATGAAATTCAAGAATTTAAATACTGTATCCCAACTTATTTCAACTCAAACTTTAATCAAGAACAAGAGAAAAATAGCCCATTGACATGGCAAAATCACTGGACTAGCATAAACTCTAATCACACACCTACACCAATAATATAAAGACAACATGCATGCATACTTACATTATTAGCCAGGAGAAAAAACATAAAGTTCCCATTGGTAGAAAAACCCTGTCTTCTGAAGGATGTGGTGACACCGAGAATGAGTCAATCAAAATCCATAATATTATCCCAAGGACAAGAATTAGCTCCACAGTGGTACTATTTTACTTAAAAAATGCTCCATATTTTATCCTTTTTCTTCAGAAGTTGAATAATTGAAGTATACTAACCTCTTTCAGCTTTGTTATGATGACAACTTCCATAAGAATCAATTCTGATATTTGCCCTTTCAAGGGCTTCTAAAGCTTGCAAGCGGAAGTTCCGAGCACCACAATTAGAAATGAAAGCCGCTGCCAAGGCATTCTCTGTTTTAGGTTGTACTGGAGCCATGATATCATATTCAGCCCAAGAGAAGTACCCAACAGGAACATCTGAAGAGAGGCTTGTTGTCATTACAAAATCATATCCCCTTCTGTATGTGAGTGAAAAAAATGAAATAGGTCAGCAAAATGATGCAAATTTTAAAACTCAACCACACTAGGATCCTTGAGAACTTTGGCTGCATAGACTGACTTTGTGATTCGATATAAAGAAGAAGCACAAACCAAGGCAATTTCAGAATCCGTCATGGCAGGTAGCATTGGTTTAAGTACCATGTTTATAATGCTAAGCCAATTTTTAAGCAAGGCTATAGAAAAATCTCAACTACAACATAATCAAAAGATCTTTTGGTAGATAAATTAACTTTGTGATCAAACTTATGATAGATTCTGCTGGCATAGCTTTAAGTATCTGGTGGTGCTCAATTAGCTCTGCAACTTTTAAGTAATTTCTTTTTGTTTAATATGTATGGTTGCACATAAACTTATGGTTCGGTAAAGGCTTAAGTCATACACCACCAGTTAAAGTTAGCCATAGCATTCACTTAAGACACCCAACCCAACCTTATACCTGCTGAACACCTTAACTATTCAAAAGTTGTTCCTATTAGACACTGAAAATGAGTTCTGATTAGGTTCATAATACCTACTTACCTAGCTGTGAGTTGTAAGCCCCCTTTAACTCATCCGGCATACCGAAAGACCTCAAGAGTAGACAAATTATAATTATCATCTTAGATACCCTTAATAAAGTAAACAAAAAGAAAAGAACTTCTTTGTAAGTAAAATAGGAAGAGCTTGACTTATACCACTCAGAAACTAAGTTCTCCCCTCATCCTCAAAATGCCCATACAGAAAAGCCAAGTTCTTATTCTTTTTGCCCTAAAGGAATGAAGAAAACCAACACTATCCACTCACAAAATCACATTGAACAAAGAATACAGCAAATGCAGAGCCAATCTGAATCTGAATTATTTTCTACAGGGAATATATTTTTGCCTAACGAAGCATGCATTCATGTTATCAGTTTTTAAACATCTTGCCTATGGCAAAATTTTGGACAAAGGATCTATAGCTGCCAATGTGCTTATAATGCAAAAGCTGTCTAAATCTAATACTAAAGAATAATGTGATGAAAAATGTTACTTAGAAAAATTGAAAGACAGTTGTCCATTGACGGCAGGGAATGCAATAAAACTTTTTCATAATGTGCTTACCCACCGTCGTGCCAGAGTAATGTTGTTCTCAGCATAGTATTGAGCTGACTCCATAGATTGTAGCACGCTAGCTATGCCAGCTTGTCGTGGTAGCCGAAATGCTGCATCAGACTTCTTATTGAAATTGGTTCCAAACTTACATCCCACCGGACAGGAGTTAAATGTCTATATAGTGATTGAACAGACATCAAATTCTGTATAAGGTATAGTGATTGAATAGACATCAAAATTCACTATAAGATCATAAATTTCAACCCGTATCTAAAGTTTCCTCGCAAACAAATCACAACAACCAAAAGACATCACACCTAAGAAAACTCTCCTGCTATATCCGAGCTACAATCCAAAAGTCTGAAGTCAACCATGCACTCTTAAGCATACCGTGATGTCAACACATATGGGATTCAGGAAGCAGACTCCTCGCCCTATAATAAAAGAGCTCTATGTAGCGTGCAAACAAATCCATAAAAGAAGTAAATGCATTATCTAAAAAGACTTAGGAATATCACTAAAAGCAGTGTTGAAAACAAAAGCAACTGTCCCTAAATCCCAAACTAGTAGGTTCCACTATATGAATCCTCATTATCCATTATCTCCATTTGGCCCATTTATTTCCAATACTCAATACTCCCTTCCCTTTCAATTTGTTTGCCTTACTTTACTTTTTAGTCCATTTCAACAAAAAAGAAAAAAAAAACTCCATCCATTTTCGACAACTCTTTAATTCTGACTTTCTACATGACATCTTTAAGACCACGAGATTAAAGCTCATTTATTTTGGTACATTCTATGTATCTTTAGTACTAAAAACCATGAGATTCAAAAGTTTCTTTACTTTCTTGAACTCCTCTAGTGACATCTTTAAGATCATGAGATTAAAACTCATTTATTTTGGAACATTCTACGTATCGTTAGTACTAAACACCACAAGATTCAAAAGTTTCTTTACTTTCTTGAACTTCATATCTAGTAACATCTTTAGGACCACAAGATTCAAAAGTGTTCTTTACTTTCTTGAACACCATATCAAAGTCAAAACCACACAAACAAATTGAAAAGGAGGGATTAATAAGCAGAAGTAAAAAGTAACCTGTTCACGGCCATGAACAAGAATTGGTTCTTTGTCAAAATCTCTGGAAAAGACCACAGAATCTTCCCTTTCCAACCACTCCTCACAGCCCCCTGGTACTAAACCCTGATCAACCTCACTAACCAAAACACCCAATTCGGCCTCATCAACAGCCAGTTCAGTGGTGGACCGAGAAGAAGTGGTGAACTGATAGAAGGAGTCAGCCCAAGAATTAACAAGATTGGCTTTTTCAGCCATGTCAATTTTACTAAGAAAAGAAATCTCTGCTATAAACACAAGGGCAACGAAGAGAGGCAACCAATTACGCCATTTTTTATTGGGTACGTTTGAAATTGAGGATGACCCAATTGAACTGGGTGCTTCATCTGCCCAAGGGAATCTTTGAATTGGAATACCAGTAGCCATGAATCGCTAAAATTGAGAGAAAGAGGAAGAAAAATAGACAAGCTGATTCTTGAATTTATTGGAATTCATTCACGTTATTATCAAAGTGGCGATAGCGATACTGGAAAGGGGTTTAGTGTGTATTGGACAACTAAAAACTTGTATATATAATGTAATGTATAATTTACACGTGTCCGGACTCCGGATTTTATTTTTCAAGTTCGTTTGATTTCACTTTCCAAATTACTCCCTGGAATTTTAAATTTGTATACTATTACTGTGTGTGATTATTAATATTAAGGATACAAAGGAAAAAAAAGAATTTTTTGTAATTTCTAAAATTCGAGAAATAAATTGAAATAAGTATATTTTTAATATGAGAATCAAATAATATTAGACAGATGTAGTACTACTTTAAATTTATTCATGCCTATAGTTATCCAAATTTATTCACGTTGATATAGTTTTTCATTTTTTGTTTACTTTTGGGTGGTGGGATAATTAAGGATTATAACCCAAAACAAATTATCGAATTATTTTATTTCATGTTTATGAGCGTTAATTAATTTTCAAATGAAATACTATTCATATAGAAAATAGAATAAAATAATTTTATGAGATATCTTATTTATTCATGCATACCAAACAACTCACCCACTTAATCGGTATGTCTAAATCATAATAGGTGGGGTTAACACTGGATTGTTATTGTATTTAGCTGTTACTATTTGACTAATGATTTTTTATGTAGTTTTTCAACGATCACTGCCCATTCTAGCCCCGAGCAACACTGTAACACCGGCTTCACCAAGGCACGACCGTCACAAAGAGAGGTGGACGGCTCTGTATCATTGATACAATCCAAAGAAAACCACACTCCAAAAGCTTGATATTGAAGTGGGAGAGCTCAAGATTATATAAGCCCTACATATGCTGGCTTCCCAATAAATTAATGTAAATCTCATACCTTGCAATATGATCGATCGCAAACACATCATAACTCCACTTTCAAAATTGAAACAGAGAACTTTGTTCTGCAACGAAGATCAAAACAAAGAAACAGTGACATATAAAAGAGAACAGGACTACGGAAAAAAAGAAGCTGAAGACACAGTAAAGGATCGAGAGAATTCCACTAAATATACGTAGAAAAGTACAAATCCATCTTCAAATGGACGACAAGAAAGAAAAAACAAACAAAAGAATTAAGCGCAATAGTTTATATAGACATTTGTTCTCTACTGATAATTTTCTAGTTCCCCTGCCCTCTCCCCCACCCCCAAATGTTTTCTTTCTCGTGTAAAACACTTACGCTTGTATGGATAACTATCTACATGTCATTTACAGCATTATTGCTATATCGCAACACTATGCAAATGCACGCTAGACTTTTCCTACTCTATTTTTTAACCCAAAAAATGACACGCCAACACTCTACTATCTGCAACAAATCTGATTTCATCCAGTACACCTTTCTCAAATTTGCCATCCTCCTTTAGAAAAGCAACAAGAAAATTACCAACTCCTTGTGTTGAGAGTCCCCTTCTCCAGTATTTCACCACCCCTCAGCTACCTTTCAAAAGTCTTACATTGGCCATAGTCTTCTGATTAGTTTTGAGCTTTACTTTGTCACTACTCTGGAACATAGAACTAGCTCCCGTCATTGTTTGGTGAAGAATTTCCAAGATTTACTTGGTTATTTCTCTGGAACATGGAACTAGCAACTCCTGAACTCTCGTATTCCTTGTTGGAACGACCTAAAGTACACATACAGCGATTAGATAAGGTTTTTTTTACAACCATTAAAAATCATTTTTTTCAAAGGTTAATGGAAGAAGTTGATGCACACTACTTGCTCTTGGTCTGTAGTGTCCACAGAAGCTGTCTTCATCTTTTTGCATCTCGAGTTCTCGTCTGAATCTTCATCCAAGAAATTCTGACCTGAACCTTCTGCAAAATTTCTAACAATGTCAAAAAATACTAACAAATGTAGAATTTACACGAACTATATTGTACCTATGTTTAATGTTCATTAATAATGATCCTTTGGTTTTTCAGAATCCCAGGAATCTAAGCATGTAGAACTACAAGTTCCACATTTAAGTCTTTACGGAAGACTGCCTATCCTCGAATCCTCAATTAAAAACAATTTTAACGTAAATGTAGCAAAGTGCTTACCAGTAACTCTACAAACTGTTTTCTGAAGTTCTCCCGGTTTGGAAGGGATTAAATGTGATCTTGTTTTGTATTCACAAGATGAAGAAGACCTCTCATCTCTTGTTCGTTTCCCCTTGCAAAGGAGTTCACTACAAAATTGACTATCCAGAACCTGATGATGCCCATCACCACGTAGATATTTTAAGCAATCATGAGAATCAGCTGCAATATACACAACAGGTGGCTGCCTCACAGTCTTGATTGTCTTCCAAGAGCCATGATGCAGAAAAGGTAACTGGAAGAGAAGGGAAAAACTATCAAGCAAGATCCACCGAAGTTTTTTTCATTTTCTTTGTAAGATGGGCATGGTGCTGTTTTTCATTGTCATTACAGAAAACTAGTGGGGCATGACGGGTCAATTTTGTGCAGATCCCTAGTGATCTATGTTTGCTAGGACTCTTCAAAAATGTTGATGGTGCATGTTGGATCCTCCAGAAGTAGTGCATATTTGGAGGATCCAACATGAGTGCAGAAGCCTTCAAGAGTCGGAGCGATACCCATCACTAGTACTTCAGCGAGAAACCAAAACAGGAGGCAAATAATGAGGCAACTATAAATATTATGCAAAAAAATTATATTCAACCAACATCCCTTTAGAAAGCATGGAACCTACGAACAAGTTTTCATTTTCAAACAAAGAAAGAATGTCTTCCTAAAAGAGAAAGGATGTAAAAAGTAGGAAATTAATAATTAAGCTTCCTTCCCCAATTAATAGGAAATTACAATGGATCATGTACACTTATAAAGTAAGACAGAATCAGGATCTTCTTCTCTCCCATTCTCTCCATGGCCTCCTCCAATTAATGGCTATACCTGACTTTATTTTTTCCCTCTTAATTCTTGAATTTTGGCATCTCAGATTAAAAAGGCAAGACACCAAAATTTGTTTCTTTGAACCTTGGAAGTCATTCAAGAAAAGCCAAAAATGAAGATCACATCAAATACTTGATATTTACTTCATCTGTTCATCATCATAATTTATTTTGGTTATATATGCTACTCGTATATACTTATATAACCTAATTACTAGTAGAACAAAATAAATATAATTTTCCAAGACAGTAGAAGTAGTATTTTTTTTTTTTCCATTCAAGTATTTGGCTATGGTTATGTAAAATGACGATCGCATCAAATCAATGTTAAAAGCTATTTCTCACACAGCATAATTTTTCACATATACTGAATTGTAGCATGCTAACTACATGCATACATATATATAGAGATACACACAACACACACATTTGGAATATCAGCTGTGCATTTTTGAATTCTTTTTCTTCTTGATGTTGCATGATTTACACTTAAGTCAGATTGGTGTCAGTAGCTCAGTAAGACTAGTTTTTGGTGTGAAAATGTCGCAGGCCCTAAAATATATTTCTGCCTCTGCCCCAGGTCATTGTTAAAACGCAGCTAAAAAGGGTTGTGTTATAGCTCTAGAAATAAAGAATGAACTAAAATTAGGCTCCTGACCTGCTTTGAAGCTTTGTTGACATGTGCAGATAACTCTTCTGACAAATTTCTACAGCTGAGGTTCATTTCCACAGATCCAGCACGCAATGCCATGGATCTGTGTAACTGCTTAACAAATGAAGCTTCAAGACAGTCCAGAAATGCATTGTGCTTTGCATTTGTCCATCCTGTGTACTTGTCCTGAAGTTAAGACGTGAAATATGCAAGTGTTGTTATCCTGATATTCTGGCAGGTTAATGCTCATTAAGTTAAAATTGGAAAAACATATCAAGAAATATGCATGCCACAATAAATGCTGCATATACTGCTTTCTCCTTGGTCTTCCCGACTATCTTTCTTGTTTTGTTTTCTACACTGATTGGCGAATCTAGGGTTTCATCCCTAGCATACTAAAAAATGTCCTTGAAAGGAGGACTTAATCTTTTGATGCTCTCAGCAGTGAAGAATAAAGGCAGCGAGAAAGTTTTTGAGATTTCTAATCACATCTGATGTCTCCAACACATAATATGTTGCACTTTTTGGCTTTTATTCCCTATGTAATATACATTTTTTCCCACTTCTCCCTTCTTTTTCTTGAAATACACTTGATTATGGAAAGTCATTTCCATGCTTGAACCAAACACTTCATAAACTCAGTTTATCCCCTAGTTATCCTTTTGCATGTTTGATTTCAAGCTTTATCACAGCAGTCGGAACTAACCAAGTATCTTCTATGGAGTGCTCAGAGAGATCAATGTGGTGGAATCACTATATGCAAACAAAGTGTATACCTTGCAAGCACTATCATATTAATAGCTAAATGAAAACCTAGAGACTTAGGGGATCTAAAATCTCTGAGAAAACAGGCAGTCTCAGGAAAACACCTTTTAGAAGTAGAAATTTCATTCTCAAAAGTTGTATTACATCATTTATAAAATAATGATAAAACAAATTTCAAATCAAGGTACACTTCCCACACATGCGGCAGTTTCAACAGAACAATTCAATCTATTAATAGATTATTAATATTAACTGCACGAGCCAAGTGTCTATCGGAAACATTCTCTCTACTCAAAGGTAGGGATAAGCAGGCATACACTTTACCCTCCCCAGAACCCACTTTCTGGAACTACAGTAGGTATGCTGTTGTAATATTAATTGCATAAAAGGGTAGTCCGGTATTATTAACAGCATGTGCAGGATTATGCATCAACATCACTAACCAAGAAGTGTGACACAAGTTTTAAGCATTCAATGACTACATATTTAGAAATGTAGCTTTAAAGAAAACTGGGTTCTAAAGGCGACAATGAAGTAACCTTTTTTAAAACTAGGGAATAGAGCCAACTTGTGGACTATTACACCAAGTACTTTTTACCTCCCACCAGCAGGCTGACTGCGATTCTTTTTACCAGTATCCGCTGATTACCCAGGAATACATAATACAAGATCTGATAATCCCAAACTAGCATAAAGAAAGAGAATTTCAGCCTGATACACCATACACTAATGGCATCACAAAAATGTTCTACACAAAATTTAATAGAGTAGTCTGAATCTATAGGTGAAAGTCTCCAATAAAGACCCTGACAACAGTGTAAAGTAATGCTCAAGCGTGTAAAAATTATTTTTGATTAGATCTGAAAATAGGTAATTTGGAATGAGCATGACAAGCTAAATACTCATGATTGATCATCTACAAGAACAATTTTTCCTTTTGATGCTAATTTTCCAGTTCAGCCTTTAAACAAGAACTAAGCAACAACCCCTCACGACTTCAACAAATAATGACCCCATTTCCTCCTTCTCAACACGGAGAATTATAGAAGTTCAATAAAAAGAGAATTCATGTGAGCAAAAACTCTAACCTGCAGTATACACGAGATGATAATATAATCAGACCATCCTTGCCACAAGAACTGTTCTTTGTCTCTTTAACACAAAAAAGATGAGCATAATTCCACTTCTTCCAACTCCAAAAACACACTTAGGTTATGCTAGATATTCCTTAACCAGATTAAAAACAGAATTGAACTAACATATCACGCGTAGATCTTTAACCCAATCTCTAAATTAAACTAGTGAGCCAATTTTTCAATTTCTTCCTTCAATAATTATCAAGCTAAATATCCTCTCTCTCTCTATCATGTCTAGTCGTTGCTCCGACTAAAAATATCATACGGACAACAGAGAACCCATACGGTCACCATATCAGCATCTACTACCAACAATTTAGGAAAATAGACAAAGAAATAACCTTACAGACACTAAATCACAAAATCTCCTCAAAATACCAAACGATACACGAGATTTAACCAGGAAGAATCGCAAATAAAGAAATTATTACCTTGGTAGCATTTCCACCCTGCAGCAAAGTATCTTTGGAATCCGCAACACTCAAAGACGACGCACCAGAATTCAACCCGGTCAACTCATTAGCGCAACTCTCCGACGACGACGACGACGGTCTCTCCTTCCGGGAGCTCTGTTCCATTTTATATTCTCCGATAATGTGAGATTTGAAAAAGATCAACAAATATCTCCTCTATATATTTACAAGCAGATGTCTAACAGCGTGAAGTTTGGGGTAGGGTGGGGTTGGGGTTGGGGGGTTCAGGGGCTGTGGAGGCGGTTTTGATCAAGCCGGGGATATTTTTTTCGGTGGGGGCCAACGTGGGCTCCACATGGCGACGCTTTTACACGTGTCGTGATTTTGGCTTTTTGCCACGTCAGCAGTGGTTGATAATATCTTACAGAAAATGTCAACCAGATATTTTTTCTAGGAAGCGAGCGAAATCGCGTGTGGGTATTTTGGAATTGGGAAGTGCTGAACACGCGCCATGTGCGTGACAGGCTGACAGCTAATAAGAGTTTACTGGTCACTGCGTCAAATACCAGATAACCGTACGATAATACCGTTGACAGAAATTATTCATAAATACTACTCCTTCCGTTTTAATTTATTTGTGAATCTTATGATCACAAGTTAAAAATATATAGAATATTATAAAATGTCATTTAATTTTACGATTTTAAATATATTAAGTGAAAATTAGAATTAAGAAGTTACAAAATAAAAATATTTTTAAAACGTACCAAAAGGAAGGTAAGATAACCAATTATTAATCACATTTGTGTGTTTCATAAATTATTAAAAGAAAATAATTTAAAAAAATTATTAACAATTTTGCATTCTAAAGAATAGATTTTTTAAAGAAAAAATTTAAGGTTTTCATTTAATTTTGTCTTCAAATCACCAATTTATTTGAATCGCTCTTATAAACGATATTAAGAAATGAGATAAATATCTAATCAGATATTTTAAGGTTGTTTCCGTGACATATATTTGTATAATATAATTAGATTTATTTTAGTTGTTTTAGCCCTCTTAATTATGTCATTTTCCTTATCTATTAGTCCAAATCGATTAAGACGGAGGGAGTTAACACGTACTTTTCAGCAAATAAATTCTCTCACATATTATTACAGTACTGAACTGAATGCAATGTTATTTGATTTGAAAGGAAAAAGTTGATTGCAATTGTATTTTATTTTTGGCGCTTTTTTTAATATTTAAAAATTGTTTAATGTAACTAGTAATTAGTCTACGGTCAATTTTGACAAACTATTCTAGAATAAATTAAGCAAAGCACGTGACTTAATCATTTATTTAATTGTAAATTGCTATTGGATAGTTTGAGGGGTAATTATTTAATCCTTCACTAATTATCTGATAAAGAAAATATAATTAAAATATGCCATGTGTATATATAATTAATTTATTTAATTCTTTCGAATTCAAATCGATCCAATATTATTCATCTCTCAAGTGTCGAAAAAATTGTGATTACATGTCTATTTCTATTCTGAATTAAGATTCATAAAATCCAATCATATAGATGATGTTTGGGAAATTATGATTAATAGAACTCAACCATACAGGTGTTTGGAAAAATTATGCTTACACTTTCAAATAAAATAACTATTTATCAAAGAATTATAGCTCAACAATATTTTACGCTACAACTCCTAATATGATTCAGATATTTTAATTCACATAGGGTGCAATTAGGCGATCAAATTATTTAAAATAAAATATGCAACCCAACATGGTCTTTTTAATTCGAAATAAATAGATTTATTGTTGATGCAATTTGAATTTTCGTACTTTGTTGTTATTCTCCTATATTATTTTTGTTATTTATTTTAAATTTTTCTTTCTTTGCATATTTCATGTTCAATTTCTCGTATTCTAAAATATTTTTTGAATGAACTTCAATCTTTGGACCATTGCAACTGTACGGCAATACATTGCTTTTTTTATTGTCACGTGTCTCATTTATATTAAGCTCTAAGATATATACATTAAGTCCTCTTTGAATGGAAATTCTCATTATTTAAAGCTTGCTAATCATGCAGGTAGATATACAAAAATTCAGAATAGATTAAACAATATTCTTTTCATCTTTGATAATGAGCTAAATGAACAAACTATGTTTTTTTATCTTGTTAATCTGTTTTCCTAATCCACATGTTAACTACTTTCTAAATAACTTCTGAAAATTATATGAATTTCATCATCTACACGTGATCGATTTTAAATTTCTGATAGAACTCCAAGTAATTGCCTAGTGTATAATTAAGTTCTTTCCATGACTGATTTTAGCTTTTAATGTGGAAATGACTTCAAGATAAACCCTCAAAATTCAATTACATTTAACAACATAATAACTATGCCATTATTCCAAAACTATTTAGGTTTTGCTACACAATCCATCTTCTTTGTCTGCAACAACTAAGAAAGGGCACCATAGATAAATTCTTGGAAAATAATTTACAAAGTAATCGATGATAATATATAGGATTTAGCCTAAACATTTTGTGTATGTAAATCATTTATTTTGTCATTTTCCCATTTATTTAAGAAATTGACGTAGCCCCTCCTCCAACATAAAATTAAATACTTACAGTTCGTTTGATGGAAGAACAAGCAATTTGGAAATTAGTTATTTCAAAAAAATTATTTCATCTTTAATATAAGATAAAATAATACTACAATCCTCGAAAACTATTTTTATTATATATTTTATAGTAGTATTTTTGTGCTGATTTCTTATCCAAAAAGTGATATATAACTAAAATATATGCGGTAGACATGATGATGATATTCAGAAGAAAAAAATTATTCTATTACAATTGGTGGGACATTATTATATGTTCCCATTTCCATATAAGATATTTTATTAATTCATGAGTCTTAATTATAAAGTGAAAACCTTTACGTAATTATTTTTTTATAATAAATAAACAAAACTCAGTCGTAGACAGTGGCGGAGCCAGAAATTTTACAAAAGATGTCCAGAAATAGCAACTTGTTATGTTAAGGGTGTCCAAAATATATTATTTAATCATTTCGTGTATCATTTTACTTGTATATATGTTTTTTTTTTCGAATTGGACACCCTTAACGTGGCTATGCCACTGGTCGTAGAGATGCTTATCATGATTACATGTCCAAATAATGATTAATCACCAAACTCTAATTCGAAAATATCTTATGCTACAATTCTGAGATATTTTAGTTTTTTTAAAAAATAATTAATAATAATTGTAGCCCAGGACTACTTTTTAATATGTTCAAATAACGAATATGTGGGTCCCCCAATTTTTATTTGTTGTTTGGATAGTGAAATGAAAAGGAAAAAAAAAATCTGGTGGCGGAGCAAGTTAGTTCCGTCTCAGTTTTAGATTATTTCATTTGTCTTAATCTATGTTCTCTCTCCTAATTCATATGAGATAATTTAATTTGATATTAAATATAATAAAAAAAAATTAAAAATTATTATTTTATTAAAGTAAAATAGATGTTTAAAGTGTTATTATTAGATAGAATTGAGTTATTCTTTCTAAAACATACTTAAAAAATAAGTTAAGACAGAAGAAATAATAGTATTTGATTAAACAAAAAGGTTAAAAATAGAAAATTATAAAAATGATATATTTAATGTAGGGATAATAGAGTAAGGTCTGAAAAAGTCTAAAATATAAGGAGAACTTATTCTCACCTAACAATAATAGAAAAATTATTTTAGAAACAATTCTAACTTAAATAACACATCAAATAGTATAAAAAAAGATATACTAAATACTAAAGAAAATATCAACATACAGTAAAAAGAAGCAATAAAAACAATAAAATATTTGCGATAATCAAAACACATGAGTCGATAGCAACATAACGCAGGATAGAGAAGTACTAAGCAACATTGTTAATACTACCAGTATAAAGGAGAAACAGGTACAGAGCGTCAAACTACCACCAACCTTAACTCGTAGGAAAGCGAGACAATGCTCAAACATATTAACCTTCTAACCTAAATCGCGACCTCCAAATTATCTTATATATCTAAGGTCATGTCTTTAGTGGGTTAAAGATATTTGTCTAATTAATTACCTTTCTCCAATGTTTCTTCGGTCTACCTTTACTCCAGCTCCTTGAACTCACCATCGTCAACCTCTCACACCTCATCATTAGGTTTTTTCCACCTCTCTCTTGTATCGGGGCGGATCTAGTAAGGTTCGTGGGGGTGCCATGCCACCCACGGGATTCGACGGAAACTCTAGTATATATAGGTATATATCTATAATATAATTACAAATACTAACCGTAAGGCGTTGTGGTGCGGCTGGCTAAGGGTCATATTCTAACACGGAGGTTGCGAGGTCGAATCTCGCTGAGGCCCTGACAGTTTTTTAATTTGCAATTTTAACTTGCTCCCTTAATATGACAGCGGCACATTATTATTTTTGTTTGTTTCTAATAGTTGTCTTAATATGGAGTACTAATTTATAAGTATATTTGACTAGCGTGTTACTTAAAGCGTGATCTATTGTAAATACAAGCAATGATATTGTCATTGATCATTTTCAAAATATGAAAACTTGTCGATCACAATTATAAATGAATGATGAATATTTATGATATTTATAGTATAATTGAAAGTTTTAACTTTGTTTACTTTATGATCTCAATCAAATGTGGGGTGCAATTTTGTATTTATAAATGGAGGTAGGGAAGGGAAGGGAAGGGAAAATGGTAAGGTGAGAGTTCAAATAGTCAACCAATTGAGCTAAAATGAGTTTTCCCAAATATTACGTGAGAAAAAATCTTCCGTTGTCAGTCTTGAATTCGATTTTCAACAAGAGCATCTAAATTAAAACGATAAACCTTTGCTCCGTTGGAGACATCTGATAAAATTGAAATAATGCGGAGAAGATTAGCATGACCCATGCGCAAAGAATTTGTAGTATATATAATACATAAATTGTCATCTTATTATTGTTCATATTTGTCATAGACCGAAAAGACGAATAATTCGACTGAAGCCTAAAATTGATTTAACCGATGAACCTACTTGGCACCCAGAGACTTGAAATCCTGAATTCGCTTATGCTCTTGATCACATGTTCAAATCATCTGATCAGTCTCGCTTTTCTCATCTAATTATACACCATATTAGAGGTCGCTAGCTCGTTTCTTATCCCGGATGTACGTCCTCACTCTAATCTTATCCCTCCTAACCCACACATCATCTTCTAAACATGAGAATTCTTTACTGGCTAACGTTATGTCCTATACAACATACTAGATAATTAGCCTCACCAGTACTCTATAGAAGTGATGCCTTCTAAAAATCAAAATAAAAGATTCTAAAAATATATAATATAAAAATAAATCAAATTTATTTATATGGTCATTATCTTAATAAAAATCAAATAATTTTAAATTAAATTAATCTTTAAACTAAATATAAAAATATATCATACTTTTAAAACATCCAATAAGAAAAGAAAAAAGTATCACATGATACTGTTCGAGACCTTTTAGAATATCATATAATAACTTGTCCTAAAATGGTTCATATCACAATAGTTCATATCACAATATGTTAAAAGAATATAGACTTCAGTAATAATGTTTTTGGATGCATAAGTAAAAGAATGTACTTCATTGAACTGATTAAAATAATAATTGGTCCATCACCATGTTACGTTACACGTGATTATTGCTAATATCCACGCTATAAATATGATATATCACATGTTTTTAGAGGTGTTCCATGCAATTTTATTTATTTAAAAAAAAAACATATCCCTTCGCCAATGAGATATTGTCTTCATTTTAGTGTTGGAATCTAAAATTTTACTACTTCACTTTAATAAAAAGTGGGCTACAACAAGCATTAAAAATAGAGATTTTCTCAATTGTGAATTAATAAAAATTTATATTATATAATAAAAAAAATATCTTTCTTTTTTCAAGAAATCTATAACTTACTGAAAAAGTGTATGATAAAAACAGTATTTCAGTAGAACACTAAGAAGCTTCTTAATTTTTTCATGTGAAAATAAGTTTTTTATTAATTTAATTTAATTATTTTGTAAAATAGTCACTGAATATTATTTTCGATGAAAATTTTAATGAGAATATAATGATATTTTAGTAATGAACAATAAACTCTATCGTGAACTCAAACACCTTTATTTCTCTTTAATTTATTTCTTTTCACAAAGTGTCTTCGTGAAATTGAAATAGACAACCAAAAGTAGTTGGAATTTGGTAAGGAAGATGAGCTTGTAGTTGGAGGTATTTGGTTTAGCTTATAAGATATGGTTTAATTTATTGACGTGTTTGATAAACACAAAGTGATTATAAATTAAGTGTTTATAAGGCTATAAGCCAAAATCATGATTAAATTGGTCATGTACAACTTTTTTGATTTATAAGTATTTTTCGTTAAATCAAAATTTTAATATGTTCTGGTTAATATTATTTTTACTTCTTATGATACATACCTTTTTCAAAACTTTTATATTCGATCCGCCATTCCTTAATAAGAATACTTTTAAATTTATAATTTTTCGTAAAAAAGAAGGTTAGTTTAAACTTTCAGTTATTTATACTTATATAATGAAAAGACAGAATACTAATCATAGCGGCTTAATTACCATGAACTTATTGATGATCTTACTTGCAATCTCACGTGATTCTTACAACGTTTAAAGAAAATTTGTGTTTATATAAATTGGAAAGAATATATTTAATTTAATATAGCCTCTTAATATTCATGCTTCCTAAAATTAATTATTTCGATTTTTTGTTAGTGTCTTTAATTGTAACATCAGACTTAACTTCTATATGCATTTTCCTAATTTGCATACAACGTAACATTTGATTTCACCCTATAATATTTATATACTCCCTCCATCCATGTTTTATGACTTGACATATCTTTTGAGAAGCCATACATAAAATGACCATTTTGTTGTATTGCTCTAATTATTATAACAAGTATTCATCTAACTCATTAGAAAATAAATTGAAAATAATCGATACTTAATTATAAGGATAAAATAAGTATTAAAGTAGTAAAATATAAAAAATAAATACATGAAGAGGCCAAAGAAGGCTCAACATATACCTATATATACTTAAAAAATAATAATTCTGCGAATGAAATATATCTCAATATCCTTGCTAATGTTGCACCTGTTGTATATAATTACAGTCACTAAAATCTGACCTGTTATCATTGGCAAAATAATAATAATCTGTAATTTAATTTTACTAACCTAATAATCATGACAAATTTTAATTATATACAGTACTATTATTTATGAATTTTCACCCCTAAACTTGCAAATATATACTAGTATCAGTTATATTGTGTTCGAATGAAGCTAGTAATTTTAATTTAAAACAGATGGAGTAAATTGGAATCCAGTTCCATTTATTATTCAACTGAGCATTAAAACAACATGCATAATATATCTTGTTTGCACCTGCTCGCTCTAATAAGAGAGTTTCACATCTACGTAACATTCTGATAATCAAATATTACTAACAACTTTAAATTCTGAATCTATTTATAGATAAAAGGTGATGGAAGCACTGAAAGACCCACAACTTGTGCCCATTGTTTCAGCTTCAGCTTCATTGTCTCCTGATCAGCACCTTCACAAACAAAACAAATTATTAGCACGGCTCAAACTCCGTTGTAATTTGTTTATTTTACTTCGTTTAATATTTGTATAAGAAAAGTAATTGGAGTATTAATATATATATAAATATTTAATTATAAATCAAATTTTAAGTAGATTTTATATTTGTATAATAAGGAAAGTTATTAAATAAATATAAATATTTAATTAATTAAGAACAAACACTAATTTTTAGGTAGATTTTATAGTTGTATAAGGAAAGTTAAAACCAAAATGAGGTATAGGTCAAGAACTTGAAAACTCATAAACTTTAAAAAAAAATTAGCGCAGTTTGGTGTCGATAAATTTCATTTTATTTTACCTGGTTCAACAATGGAGACAGAGGTTTCAACAGATGACGGAGTTTCACCGTCAGAAGTTACCGTCGAAACCGAAGAAGAGGATCGAGATAACTTATTCACAGCATGATAAAGCTCCAAAGCGGGAAAAGCTTTGGTAAGCTTTGGATCCAAATCAGAATTCGAATCGAATCCAAATCCTAATTCAAAACAAGCACGGAGTTCATCGATATCGTCGTTAGTGATGCTCATTGAACGACGGTAATCTTCATCGGCGCTGAGGCTCAATGAACGGCGTTCATCGGCGCTGAGGCTCAATAAACGGCGTTCATAGGCGCTGAGGTTCATTGAACGGAGTTCATCAGCGTTGAAGCTCAATGAACGGCGTTCATCGGCGTTGCTCAGGCTCATTGAACGGAGTTCATCAGCGCTGAAGCTCAATGAACGGCGTTCATCGTCGTTGCTCAAGCTCATAGAACGGAGTTCATCGGCGATAAAGCTCAATGAACGGCGTTCATCGCCGTTGCTCAAGCTCATAGAATGGAGTTCATCGGCGATGAACCTCAGTGAGCGGCGTTCATCAGCGCTGAGGCTCAATGAACGGTGTTCATCACCGTTGATCCTCAATGAACGGTGTTCATCGCCTTTGCTCAGGCTCAAGTAACGGAGTTCATCGGCGTTGAGGCTCAATGAAAGGCGTTCGGCGGTGAGGAGGCTCAATGAACGGCGTTCGGCGGCGAGACGCTGAAAGTGCTTCTTCTTGCGTTTGAGCCAAACTTCTTCACGTTGAATGTCAGGAGACCATGATTTGTATTTGAATAGAGCGGCCTTTTTGTGCTCCGACATTGGGCCCTACCACAGTGGGGTAAGTAGCGCCGCCGTTTTAGTCTGAATAGGAGACTTGACAATAAAAAAATAATATTATTGCTTCAATATATAAAGAAGGGTGGGGCTGGAGGTTGGGGGTAATTTGGGTCCTATAAACTCCTTACTCATTTTAAGTAACAAATAATGACCAAAAATACCCCTGGTACCAAAGAATAAATTAGGAAGATATTTTGTACCATAATATAATTAATATAGTGTACTACGAAGTATAACAAGTTCATAACTTTTATCTTCGTAACTAGTAAGAAACATAATTTATTTTCATATCGAACTTGTGTCAGGACAAGCAAAAGTTTTCTAGAACTTGCTAGGAGATGTTGAAAAACTGTAGAGGAGTTTTGAGGGAGACAAAAACAAGAAGAAATTGGTTAAAACATCTTATGCTGACTTCACTTGGCAAATTGTAGTGTATTTTGCACTTACACATCAGCGCGTTAATAATCTAAATTAATCTGTTCTTTTTCTCATTTTCATCTTCTATTTCTTTTCTACTTTCCAAAAAAATTTAGGTGGGTCCCACTCCCCCTTTTTTAACCTTCCTTTTCCATCATGGAAAGTGGAAACTGTGTTACATTGGAGTAGTATTAATGATAGGCGGATTTTTTTTCGAATGCCTTTGCTAACATGTGTATTATGAAAATCTTACTAAATATTTTTTTATCATAAATATTGTAAGAAATTAATTAAAATTCGAGGTATATATTTCAGTCATTACAAGTTTATTCTCTAAGATTCACCAAGATCTTCTAATTAAAATTAAAGGTTTTAATCTAATCAAATTCAATAAAAAATAAAAATTCAAACACACAAAATTATAGGAGGAAGAGTTTTCTTGATATTTATTTTTGGTTCCTATTTATTCTCAACAATGGAAGATATACGAATATAAATAGCCAAGAAATTTTGGATAAGATTGGCAACCGTCAAGCATGAGAAGATATTTTAAAGCAAATCCAACTGTAGTTCTGCAATGATCTCAAAATTAATACGGGAATAGTAAGTATTGTTGATAAATTGATAGAGTATCTTTTTCGGGTTAGAAAGACACTTATAAAGATGCATTTTGTTTTTTCGATCCAAGAGTACACCCAAAAACGTGTGATCTTTCGTTTCCATCGAGAAACAATATTACGAGTCCTAGACTCCTAGTTAATTTCGAGCACAACAAAGAACATGAAATTAATTTTTGAGAGTCCCTTATATGTAAATAATTTAAAATTTTAATTTTAATTATTCTTACCATAATAATTGCAAATCGTTCAATTAGAAATTCGTAAATATATAGCCTCCATTTATATTTCAGGAGTTACCCATTAAATACTTGTGTAATTATTTATGTTAAGATCACATATATTAATCAACAAATTGAAATAGAGTTAGTAACTTAGATGGTGACTCTACTTTGTCAAGTTAACTTTTCCACGATCATTACTTCCAAAAATAAAATTTTTGATATCAATTTAATGACATGACATCTGCAAAATTTTCTAAAAAATATTTTAAAAAATTAAAATTAATATTTAAATTTATTTAGAACCTAAATGATCACAAATCATACTCAATTATTAACACGAGTTACATGACTCGTTTAATGAGTTAACTATATAAAAGATGTTTTAATTTCAATACCATTTAACTAAAAGAGCCCCTTGATTCATTTTCAAACATATCTTTCTCCGCTCCATCAAAAACCTAATTGAATAAATTAGCTCTTACTGTTCTCCGGTCTTTACTCTTGAAGACCGCTCTTGAGAATCTCTATCTCTTTCTTCAAAACCTCATTCGAAGCCTGTCGATCAGTCTTACACACAATATATTTCCCGCAAGTGATTAATGATGAATAATTAGTTAGTTAGTTTGTTTTTTTTTAAGAAAAAGAGATTTCTTTTTTTATAAGAACAAAAATAATAATAATAACAACAACAACAATTAAAAAAAAAGTTTCAAGATTTGCATAATCAATTTCTAAATTTTTCCACAAATTATGAAACCTAATTTAAGAAAATTGATGGTAAAATGATATTAATCAATTACGTTTAGTACAAATTTAATTAGGTGAATATTTACATTATCCCCGAATCGATAGGTGTTGATGTGAGGCCAAAAATACATATTTTTAATCATTATTTGCCTCACATTTATTATTTATATCTGTCCTTTTTGAGCATTAATTTTATGGATTGTGCTAAATAGTGTATTTTATTTGTAGAAGTGAATTGTTATAAAGTTGAAGAAGTTTGAAGCTAAAACAAATTAAAGATTGAAGATTGAAGAAGGAAATCAGGCAGACAGCTTAATGGAATAAATTCAATATAATAATGTATAAAATATAAAGGTGCAAAGTTCAAATTAGGGGTGTGCACTATTCGGATTAAATCGAATAATCAAACCAAATCAAACCGAATTTTTATTTGGATTGATTTTTTGGTTTTTCGGATTGGTTTTGGATTAATAAATTACTTTGTTTGGTTTGGTTTCGAATTTTAAAAAATAAAAACTGAAAACCGAAAAAAAATGAAATTTATCTCTCTCTCTCTATATATATATATGTGTATGTATAGATAATGTTTAGGCTTAGAATTAAGTTGGAGTTAACCACTTTTGTCCCTTTTTGGTTATTGTTTTTCATGATGATTACGTTTATATTTTATGTTTGAATTACATCTATAATAGGTATATTTATAAGTATTGTATTTTGAAAGTATATTTAAGGGATTAAATATTATTATTTTGGTTATATATGTTATTAATTATTGACATAACTGAATAACCAAATCGAAAAAAACCGAACCAAATAGAGGAAAACCAAACCAAACCAAATTTATTTTGGATCGGATTGGGTTACACTTTTACAAAACAAAAAATCGAAAATTCAAACTGAATAGTGTGAAACCAAATCGAAAAACTGAATGCACACCCCTAGTTCAAATAGGAAAAGAGGATGCTTCCACGTGGCAGCAGCGGAAGACACCTTCATATTGTTGAAGTCGTGCAGAGGCGGTCAGAGTTCACGCGTAAAACTGGGAATCCAATTCTATTCGGTTTGGGTTCCTAATTTGATTGGGATTCAATTATTTTATTGAGCGTTTTCTATATCTATAAATAGTCCATAGAAATAATTATTTTGGAGATTAGGCAGAGGTGGAGATCAATTAGAGGGTATCAAAGTATAAAGTCGTCAATACTTTTTAAATTCTTTTCTTTTCTTCTTCTTATTTTCTTAGAGATTAGTAGCTAAAGCCTTTGTTCTGAGGCTGTAGCTACAGATTCAATGTTGATTATTTAAGGTTTTCGAATTAATTCTTGATTGTCATTATAAGTTACTTATATATTCTTGTTTTAGTATTTTATGCTTGATCACCATAACATAAATATATTGTCTAATCTTAAAATCGAGAGAAGAGGGGTTAGATAGACCAGGGATTATAGAGAGCTCGGTACACCCATTAGATTGAGGTGATTAGCGTTCAGGAGTGACGTCCAGACCAACACCTTGCTTGGTTACGAAACATGATGAAATATAAATGCTCGCGAGTTAGTCTATTTATCCTCGCTCAACGATGTAGTTAGATAGCTAATTGGGGTAGGCGACGAGAGCTGTGAACCTGGATCATACAATTAACCCTGTAAACCAGTAACTTGACAACTAAAATTAGTTCTTTACCTAAAATATGATACATGAGATCTAATACATGCTGCAATGATTAGCGTTCAGGAGTGACGTCCAGACCAACACCTTGCTTGGTTACGAAACATGATGAAATATAAATGCTCGCGAGTTAGTCTATTTATCCTCGCTCAACGATGTAGTTAGATAGCTAATTGGGGTAGGCGACGAGAGCTGTGAACCTGGATCATACAATTAACCCTGTAAACCAGTAACTTGACAACTAAAATTAGTTCTTTACCTAAAATATGATACATGAGATCTAATACATGCTGCAACCCTGGGATTTTCCAACTATTGTAAGTAATCTCATTATTTTATTCTTGCATTCTTTTCTTTTGACACTCTTAAATAAATAATTTGACCAATATAATTTAGTAAAAATAGTTAATTGACAAGTCATATGGGTTCGATAATCAGGTTCTTTTAAGAGCCACTATATTATTTGCGCGACCACGTACACTTGCGTGTGCAATTGGGAGCAACAGGTATCCCAATTCATACTTGCAAGGGCCCTAAAAATTATGCTTATCGAATATCGACCAATTAATTAACACTTAAAATAGTCAAAACTTATTAAATTGTATTTTGGGTAATGCTAAATGACCAGAAAGGCAGAAACCTAAGTTTCCAAAATTTAATGCTATGTAAATTGTATTTTTAGACTTAAATTATATAAGCTCACAACATTATTTTATACATAAATTTCTCCGACAATGTGTTAAGTCGAACGTATACATATGCTTAATTATTTTCAAGTTTGGATTAGGAAACCGCAAGTGTTTAACAATTGATGTTTTTAGTTTCTCTAATTAATTAATAACTAAATAGGATTGTAGTGAAAATTATATAGAAATAAGTTTTCTAATTCTAGTTAAACTAGGTTTTACACTACTATAAATATGGGCGTTAGGTACCTACCTATTTTCTGGACAACTTTAGAATTATTGACTTCCCTTCAAATTAGTATTAGATGGAAAAAATCCAAAAAAAATCTCCTCTTCATATTTTTCTCCGGTTGCATTGTTCCAAAATATAAGTACTATCTCGGTATACATATGCCTAGAGATTTCATAAAATCGAAGCTATATTTCATTAGAAAAATGGAATTTAATCGACTTATCGGAGAAAAGAATAATATGTCGCATAGGATTAACATTATTACCAGCGATGGAACAAAGGACAATGTTAATGTGGATCTGTCATTCCAAAATTTTAATTCGCTACCAACATCGACTGGTTCCAGTATAACACAAAGCGGCCGTCTTCTTTCTCTAGACATTTTTCGCGG